TTAATCGTTTGACAGCCCTAATATATATATATATATATATATATATATATGGATACAGATACAGGAAACATGTCCTTTTGAGACAGCATTTTGTCCAAAGTCTACAGTTTTAAATCCTGGTGCATCTTATAGTGGAAATCCCTTTCATAACCAAATGTGGGTGGTTTGGCATAAAAACTTCCTCTACTTTTTCTCTGAAACAATATATATATATATATTCCTCCTGTAGTGAGAATCCAGCTTTTAATGTTGTTTATATATATCAATGTGGTGTTTTTAATTAATCAACAACAGTGCTGAATATTTAGTGAACAAAAGACAGTCTCAAAAACACGGGTGTTTCTGACGTCACACACTACCTTGTAACCAATCAGATCAACGTGCCGGCGGGCTTTAGCATATCATTAACAGCAAACTAGCAGGGGAGTCTCGAGAGAAGCTTATCCCGGTATATTGTTCTGCTGATATCCAATATCAGGTAGATTTAGCAATAAAGCGGGTGTATGATGTATATTTCGATGTTATGATGAACTATATGACGTTCTGGGTTGTTCAAAGGGTGGTGATTGTTAGACGGCAGGTGTCTGACTCTGAGAGGCGGACGGGAACATGGTTGTGTAACATTAGCGACACATTATTAGACGTTTAATAATATAGTCAAACTAAAGGCTAATCATATTTATTACGCTATGTGTCTGACGTTGTAAAGCGCGAGACCATGGTGCAGAGTTTACCTCAGTAACGTTAAGTTGAGCCGCTGCGAATGGGTGGAGGCGGGGCTAATTAGCATATTCATAGATCCGCGTATATTAAATTAAGCATGGTCGTAGTTGCATTCAAGCATTTTAACATTTAAATGTGTAATTTTAGTGATCAGAGATTAAGGGATACTGATTAACTACAGGGGACTTTAAGGGATTAAACAAACACAGCAACATTAGATCATTTCTGGAACTGGACAGACACATCTCAACTCAGGAAATCTGTTGGTATCTATGAAACTGCTAATATTAATCATTAAAACGAGTTTAGGAAATTTCACTTCAAGTCACTTTTATTTGCCTTCTACTTCTTAGTCTTGAGCAAGGCGAAACTGAAAAAAAGTTCCTCCAGAACCACATGTTGTGGGATTTTCAGCCAGCAATGAACAACATTCAATAACAACAAATCACAACATTTGTTAAAACATCAAACACAAGTTGTTGATTACCATTTCAAGTCCAGGATGAGTCAAAGGTCAAGAGTGCGAGTCTTGAAGTGAGAATCACCCCATTACACAACTGTCCCACAAATAAAGTAAAACCTAAGAAGTTTTTTACTGTAAAAATTGAAAATAATAATATAGCCTATATATTTAGCTTCATTTATAAACATAAAAATCAATCAGAAAATGCAAAAATTCGCTACTACTCTTATCTTTGTTATAGTGAATAATGCCTCTACGTCTACTATCACAACTACCAAGAATATCTCAACATTGCTTCTATCTAAATCTCTAAAATATCCCACTGCTTAAAACATACCAATGTACTTCCATACATGTTTTTGTCTTTGTTTTTCTTTTCTTTTTTTGCTTATTTTTGTTCTGCCCACCTTATATGTGCTCCATGTACGTCTTTTTCTCTTTTGTATACATAATTCACTGATCTCTTATTTTTGTTTAAATTATAATGTTTTGTTAACTTCCAATAAATAAATAAAAAGAAAATGCAAAAATTAACCAGACAAGTTTCCTGAAAAGTTTATGGTTTCAATGTTGTTCTGATTAGTACTTATAAGTATGGCCGCTTTTTCCCAACAAGCCTCATCATTTGAAGTATCGTCCACAAATTTTGCTTTAATGTGCTTTAATATTTAAGGTAAAGTCAAATGTTAAAGCAATGTTAAAAGTTACGCAAAAACCCCTAAACTGTCGCCTATGCTGGCTTAAATGTTTGAGTGCAATAAAGTTAGATGTTTAAGTCATTTCAACTTAAATTGCATTAAACTGACTATATAAACTCTTTGTTTATCTTGTATAACTTATTTTAAAAAGTTGAAAACAATGTAAAAGTTAAAGCAATGTAAAAAGTTGTAATGATATATATATATATATATATTATTGTCATATTACTTAATTAACATGAACTAATAATGAACTATACATTTAGTATTATTGTTAACATAAATGAATGTCACTTCATGTTAGCTAGTCCACTAAATAATATTAACAGGAACAACTTTTGATTTTAATTACGTAATAGTAAAGGTTAAAATTAACATAGTAAATTATTTTTCATATCAATTAATTAATGTTAAACCTCATTGTAAAGCGTTTTGTTGGATGAAAGCAGTTTAAAGGGCTTCGTGAAGTTAAACCGACTTAAAGAAAATGAGTAAATCTTGTATAACTTATAAAAAAAAGTTGAAAATTGCTTGTTTTGATGAGTTAAAGCAATGTAAAAACATGTTACACTTATTGATAGTGTAATAATGTGTCTTAAAATGCAAATTCTAGTTCAGTATTATAATATAAGTAGCAAAGTGCATCTATGATGCGTCTGAAGGCCTGTGAGAGCACAAACATGGATGACTCAATCAATGCCAGAGAAATGAATGATGGCTTAATGAAATGACTGAACGCGAACTCTAATGACTAAGGCATCAGTAAAAGTGATTTTGCTGTTTATGTCTAAAAGCGAAGCCGCAAACACCAGACCCTTAATACAGGCCGGCCGCCGAACCCTCGTACAGTGTGTTTTCCACAGGTAAACAGTGTGTGATAAACAGGATTTTAGTCACTGCTATTTTTCCAAGCCCTCTGCGAACTACAGAGGCGGTGGTGGATCCGCTTGCATCAAGGTGAAAGTTTGTTTACAAGTTTCAGACACTATAATTTCTAAATGGAAAGTAGGAAATGGCGTCAAGGCGTCGATATTTCACGGCTGGCTCCGTATCTGAAGGTCGGATCGCTCGCCTGATGGGTTTTTCATTATATCTTTATAACATCCTTCATGTTTTAGTGCAACTAGGTTTTTTTTTTTAGTGCAGGCTTAAACGTTGAAACACATCCGGCGTCTCAAAAATGTGTATTTTCCCAAAATTGTGAAACAGTCTCGCCGGCTGTTATTGTCTGCCTGAGACGAATCGTCTGAATGAATCATCATAACTTTCAAACAAAACCTAGACAGTCTATTCATACATTTACAGAAAGTAGCAAACGTTCAGGATCTTGATACAGTAGTGGCTTGTTTTGTGATGTACTTTTTGAAAATTATATGATCAATTAGTTTTGACAATATTAGTTATTTTTATATAAAAGGTTCAACTCATTTTTTTAAGTCAGTTTAATGTAATTTGAGTTGAGATGACTTACGGCTCAAAGTTGAACTTAAAATTTTAAGGCAGCAGCTGTATTTACAGCGTATAGTACTACATTTTAGTCGTATGTGGTTCAGATAACATAATATTTTGAGTTTCTGACGATTAAATCAATCTCTTTCATTGCATTAACTCAATTTTTTCCATTTCAATGAACTTAAAATTTTTAGGCAACCAGGTTACGTCATTTTTTAAGTTAAACCAACAATATTTTTTTACAGTGAAGTTATAAATGTTATAAATTATAAATGACTTCAAGTCTTATTTGCTTTATATTATCAAGAAAAAATCATTTGTTCTAAACTCATTTTCCAACAAAACGGTTTACAACTGTGGTTAGTAAAAGATTAAGAAATATTTTTTCGTATAGTTCATGTTGACTAACTAAAGTGGAATTTAGTTAGTCAACATGAACTATACGAAAAAATATTTCTTAAATTTTTTACTAATCACAGTTAATGTTAATTTTAACCTTTACTAATACATAATGTTTTCTGTAAATATTATTGAGCTAACATAAAGTGACGATGACCAGTTGTTTTTTATTAACTAACTTTATAAAGATACAATAACAGATGTATAGTTCATTATAAGTTAATGTTAATTGTAAAAAAAATTATATTGCACCACCACACCAATTTTTTACAATGAATAAAAATCATGGTGTTTGAAAGTTTTTACATTGCTTTAACATTTTCAACTTTTTATATATATATGTTAAGATAAATCAGTTTAATGTAATTTAAGTACAATCAACTTGGATGTTTGAGTCATTGCAACTTAAATTACATTAAAATGACATAACTTATAAAAAAAGTTGTTAACGCAATGTAAAAACTTGCGATTTAATGTAATTTAAGTTGCAATGACTCAAACATCCAAGTTGATTGTACTTAAAAATTGAGGGTAGACATTTTCCACAGTGCACCCTCGTAAAAGTGTTGTTTTTATTGCAGTTTAATGGAATATGAAACGTAATATGGTAAAATGACGGGAGTATTCATAAACAAAGCTATTTACATGATGCTCCTAGATATAAATTGTGCTTTTTTATAACTTTATAAGTGCACTGACCCACGTCCCCCCTGAAAGTTAACTAATTAACTAGCAAATAACCTTTAAAAACACGAAGCGAAGGCAGAATTTCCCATGTAACGGTGCAAGCGTACCCTGCGTGATCTTATGCCCCGCTCTTATAGGAAAATTAGCTTTGAAGTCACAAATAATACTCCCACATATGGGCCTCTGGACAGAAACTTGTGTCTTGTTTCCACTAAATCTCTGCGTTTACGTAACAACACTGTTTTCAGAAGCGGCGATCTGTTAACCCCTAAATGCCAAGGAAATGTCACTGTTTCAGATATGATAATAAAGTGTTAATTGAGTGCGAGACCCCTTTAGTTTTCAGTCAGAGAGCAGAGAGAGCTGAGGCTGACAGCATGGACTGGTATGTACATCTCACTACTTCTTGCTTTTGGCATGGGAATTGTTGTGTTGAAATAGCATACGTTTACTGTGTCGACACTTAAATGAATGTACTGTGATATAGTGTGTGTATACACAGCGATATGTTCCTGCAGTGCGTTACACACACTGGTATTGTTGCACAGAAAGGGCGTGACTGACTCTGAAAGTGTTACCTGAGCGAAGCGACGTCTACGTCACCTGTAGACATGCAACACCTGCACACACAAAAGAAGAGAGCACGTTTCTGCTTATCTCACACAACACATTTCATTACGATATTAAGGCAGGAAAAGTTTTATGGTGTGTAACGGCTGTTAATGATTTACATTATTCTGACATAAAGCTCCATACTGATATTTATTCACATGTTATTGTAAATTGTTGATTCATTTAATTGTTTATATTCATTTCATAGTTCACATCCAAGCCCAATTAATTAAAATATAAAAGCAATAATATTTTGGTTTGTAAAATCTTTCTTTGTTATTATTATTATTAAAGGCATAGATGGATATTTTTATAAATAAATAAAAACACAATATAAATATATATTGATTTAAAATGTATATATTAATAAATGTATGGATTTATTTTATTTTTAATGAATATATACATACAGTACAATATAATAATAATATATTTTAATATATATATATACATATCAACAATATAAATTTAATATATTTAAAAAATATGTATATATTTTAATATATATTATTTTTAATATAGATTTGTTTTTATTTTTTATTAATATATACAAATAACATAATAAATAATATATATGTAGATTTTTAAAAACCCATATACATTTATTTTTAATGTATATATTATTAAATTAAGTGTATATATTTTTCCTTTTTAATTAATATAAACATATAAGAAATAATATATATATATATATATATATAACAGGCCTACACATTTTTAATATATGTATATATTTTTTAATATATGTTTTTTTTATAGATTTAATTAATTATTTTTTTAATTAATATCTACAAATATTACAACAGGCTAAATGTAGATTTTTATAAACACACACACACACACACACACACACACACACACACATACATATATATATTAAACAAATATTTATATATTTATATTTATATGAAGAGTTCAGATGCAAAAGCCTCTAAATGCCATTTGAAATTTTCATCTTTAATGATGATTTTTATCAAACTTGTATATTTAAGTTCAGTAATTTCACTTAAATAACAATTGATAGGTAATTATCATTGCCATTTAAGTGAAATCACTGAACTTAAATATACAAGCTTGATAAAAATCATCATTAAAGAAGAAAATTTCAAATGGCATTTAGAGGCTTTTGCATCTGAACTCTTCATATATACACTATATATAATTTTTTTGTGAATTATATAAGTAGAATGGCCTTTAGTGTATGTGATATTTTAGTATAGAGTCAAGAGGCGTCAGTCCTTCGAGAGTTAGTCCTTCGAAAAGATATCCTTCACAACAGTGCTTTAAATATCATCACAAACATTAATCTTCATGGCATCTAATTCTCCAGACTGAGAAGTAGGACAGAAGGAGCGTGTGGCATCCGTACAACACACAGTGTCTCTCTTCCCAGCGTACACACACACACACACACACACGCGGCCCGGTCGGCCGTCCCCCGCCCACATCACCCAATCTTCCTGTGCTCTTACCGTAATATCCGCAAAATCCACGTCTCGCTCTCAGTCTGAATCAGCCGAGAAACTGATTCACCCGTGTCCTCGCTCATGCCCCCAATATCAGGTCTGAGTAAGCCTTCAGCTGGCTTCAGTCTGGATACAGCAGTGTCTGAGTGTGTCTGCTGCTCCAGAGAGAAAGTGAAAAAGAGAAAATACACAGTCAACTCTCAACCTACACGCTAATGCAACTCTCTGCGCACAAGATGTACAGAAAACAGGCCCACGGACCGAGCTAACATCAGAATATGGCTCACGTGATCAGAAAACTCTCAAGCAATGAGCATATGCTCTGAAATACACACACAATCTCTGTAAACAGGGTCAGCATCCTCATCTGAGCATTTAACTCTCTCTATAGGCCATTTAAGATACTGAAATTGCTAAAAATGTGCTGGTTTGGATGCATGAATTTGAATGGAAAATGTCGGTGAATAAACATTAACTAAACATGGCGAGGGACCAAATGACCTTTTAAGTTGAATAATTACAGAAGTGCTTGATAAATAAGGCTGATCTAAAGCACTTCTATGGGACACTACGGTAGACCATGACTTTAAAAACTCTACATGTTATGTTTTTCCAGTTGTATTTAGCATAATTGTTTGCAATAATTTGGTGATTCTGATTCGATGACATAAAAACTGTACGATTGAGTCTTATGCTAAACAATAACCAATATATTCCTGTAAAACAGCAGAAAATATACAATAAATTAAAAAACGGTGAATATGTATGTCTTTAAAACTGTCTTTAAAGGAGTTCACTTTTGAAAAAACTTTTGCTGATAATTTACTCACCCCCATGTCATCCAAGATGTCCATGTCTTTCTTTCTTCAGTCGAAAAGAAATGAAGGTTTTTGATGAAAACATTCCAGGATTTTCTCCATATAATGGACTTCAATGGGGTCCAAACGGATCAAGGTCCAAATGAGAGTTTCAGTGCAGCTTCAAATGTCTTTAAACGACACCAGACGATGAATAAGGGTCTTATCAAGCGAAACGATCGGTTATTTATAAAGTTTTGAAATAAGTTTTGAAAGAACCGATCGTTTCGCTTGATAAGACCCTTATTCATCGTCTGGTGTCGTTTAAAGCCCTTTGAAGCTGCACTGAAACTCTCATTTGGACCTTGAACCGTTTGGACCCCATTGAAGTCCATTATATGGAGAAAATCCAAAAATCAAAAACCTTCATTTCTTTTCGACTGAGGAAAGAAAGACATGGACATCTTGGATGACATGGGGGTGAGTAAATTATCAGCAAAAGTTTTTTCAAAAGTGAACTACTCCTTTAATGACAACTATTTTGAATGAGTATTTACAAAAAAGTATGTTCTGTATGAGTATGAATGTAATCTAGATGATGTCATTATCATGTGACCTACCAGCGTTAGATGCGTCGCTTCACTGTCGTTCATAGATCCTCTCCCGTGGCCTCATGGGATAGTAAAGTGTCCATCATATAGGGCCAATCCCACCAGAAGTAGTCGGCCATCCAGGGAATTCACACACACTGTTTTTTTGCCTTCTAGTAGCGAAGTATGTGGTTTTTAACTGTTAACTGATACCTGTTTTTATGGAATATTGCAGTATCTATTAAAAATTATTTATCCGTGCACATGTTTAATTCATGTTTAATTCCTGGTAATCTTGGAAACAGAAGTTGTCGGTGTTTTCTTCGCTATTGTGACGAATTAAAGCAGGAGCGCTTTTATAAAAACGGTTTCTCCATGAAAATATGCATTTTAATATTTATTTTATTCATAAAATAAACACCAGTAACAAAAACTATAATCATGAATATTTTTCTTGACCTCAACTACAGTGGTGCTCATTGAATTTGTCATTAAAATGTTATAATGGCCTCATGACAGCCAATGTCAAAAAACCAACCACCTGACAGTTTAATGTAATGTTAACCAATAAAGCAATAAAGTGCTTTCTTAAAGCTTGCATCAGTGATTTCAGGCCCAAACATAAATGATCACATTCATCTAATCTTTCCTAACGATCCGGCCGTCAAAAAACAGCGTCTCTGTGCTCTCTGTTCCAGCCAATCACTGACATGTGGTTTGCTGATTGTCAAGTTGTCATAAAGACATCTCAAACAATGTCATATTTGCATTAAAAATGTCATAATTGAGCGAATGACACTTAATGAGAGTTGTCATAAACATGCATAAAACCTCCTTCATATTCATGACATGTAATGTTATGATTATGAAGGTGTCATGCCAGTCGTATCGTATGCACACCCCTTCAAGTAAAGTCGCTATGACCCTGGTTCCTACAGAGATGTGCAACACTGGATAAGTATGTTAAAATGAATGGCCTGTTGTCTTAAAATATTCAATAATAAAATACTTTTGTGAAATATACAATCTATATACATTGTGAATCTGTAATGCATGTTTAGCCCATTGATGATTAGATTTTCTCATACAGTAGATGTATTCTTCTTTCATGTGATCATGAGCTTTTTGATTGTGTGTGTGTGTGTGTGTGTGTGTTAAAGAAAGGAATATCATGTGTATTTTGTTTATTTTTATAAAACATGATCATTCATATCTCAGAAGTTCTCAGCTTAAGTTTATTTAAGGAATACAAACAGATACAAATGATTCGATTATTGTCATGCAAAAACAAAGTACAAAAATGTTCCCCTGTTCTGAATAACCATCTATACCCACTAATAAATATGCATATATGGTATTGAGTAGTGTATGTCAGTTATGTGTTGCAGTTTCTGTTCCTCACTGATGAAACATGAAGTTCCTTATTTATAGCAGCTTCTAAAACCATAACATGACTCAGAACATGAAGTCAGAACTGTTCGGTCAAAAACATTTAAGCAGAGATGGGGACTCGAGTCTTGAGTCACACTTAAAGGGTTAGTTCACCCAAAAATGAAGCTAATGTCATTAATGACTCTCTCTCATGTCGTCCCAAGCCCGTCAGACCTGTTCATCTTCAGGACACAGTTTAAGATATTTTAGATTTAGTCTGAGAGCTTTCTGTCCCTCCATTGAAAATGTGTGTACGGTATACTGTCCTCGTCCAGAAAGGACATAAAGACATCATCAAAGTAGTCCATGTGACATCAGTGGGTTAGTTACAATGTTTTGAAGCATCGAAAATACATTTTGGTCCAAAAATAACAAAAATTAAAGACTCGTCAACCTGTTTTCATGCAATTACTGCTTTTTAAATCTACTGTAAATGTATTTCTATTTTCATTATTGGTGCACAAACAGTGGTGGAAAGCGAACAGCAACATGCAAGGAGTGTGGCACCAAGATAAATGATGCCGGATTCACAACGTCAAACTTCCTCAGACACCTCAAAACACACCCAGATTGGTCAGTCACTTGCTAATGTGAAAGAGATGTTAAAGACTAAGACTTGAGACTTGACTTGGACTCGAGCTCAAAGACTTGAGATTGACTGGGACTCAAACTCAAAGACTTGAGACTTGACTTGGACTCAAGCTCAAAGACTTGAGACTTGACTTGGACTCAAGCTCAAAGACTTGAGACTTGACTTAGACTCGAGCTCAAAGTCTTGAGACTTGACTTGGACTCGAGCTCAAAGACTTGAGACTTGACTTGGACTCGAGCTCAAAGACTTGAGACTTGACTTGGACTCAAGCTCAAAGACTTGAGACTTGACTTGGACTCAAACTCGAAGACTTGAGTCTTGACTTGGGCTCGAGCTCAAAGACTTGAGACTTGACTTGGACTCGAGCTCAAAGACTTGAGATTGACTTGGACTCAAGCTCAAAGACTTCAGACTTGACTTGGACTCGAGCTGAGACTTGGACTCAAGCTCAAAGAATTGAGACTTGACTTGGACTCAAACTCAAAGACTTGACACTTGACTTGGACTCAAACTCAACGACTTGACACTTGATTTTGACTCAAACTCAAAGACTTGAGACTTGACTTGGACTAGAACTCAAAGACTTACGACTTGACTTGGACCTAAACTCGAAGACTTGAGACTTAACTTGGACTCAAACTCAAAGACTTGAGACTTGATTTGGACTCTATCTCTAAGACTTGAGACTTGACTTGGACTCAAATTCAAAGACTTGAGACTTGACTTGGACTCAAACTCAAAGACTTGACACTTGATTTTGACTCAAACTCAAAGACTTGAGACTTGACTTGGACTCTATCTCTAAGAATTGAGACTTGACTTGGACTAGAACTCAAAGACTTGAGACTTGACTTGGACTCTATCTCTAAGACTTGAGACTTGACTTGGACTGAAATTCGAAGACTTGAGACTTGACTTGGACTAGAACTCAAAGACTTACGACTTGACTTGGACTCTATCTCTAAGAATTGAGACTTGACTTGGACTCAAACTCAAAGACTTGACACTTGATTTTGACTCAAACTCAAAGACTTGAGACTTGACTTGGACTCAAACTCAAAGACTTGATACTTGACTTGGACTCAAACTCAAAGACTTGATACTTGACTTGGACTCAAACTCAAAGACTTGAGACTTGACTTGGACTCAAACTCAAAGACTTGAGACTTGACTTGGACTAGAACTCAAAGACTTACGACTTGACTTGGACTCTATCTCTAAGAATTGAGACTTGACTTGGACCCAAACTCGAAGACTTGAGACTTGACTTGGACTCAAACTCAAAGACTTGACACTTGACTTGACTCAAACTCAAAGACTTGACACTTGATTTTGACCCAAACTCAAAGACTTGAGACTTGACTTGGACTCAAACTCAAAGACTTGACACTTGACTTGACTCAAACTCAAAGACTTGACACTTGATTTTGACCCAAACTCAAAGACTTGAGACTTGACTTGGACTCTATCTCTAAGAATTGAGACTTGACTTGGACTAGAACTCAAAGACTTGAGACTTGACTTGGACTCTATCTCTAAGACTTGAGACTTGACTTGGACTCAAATTCAAAGACTTGAGACTTGACTTGGACTAGAAACTCAAAGACTTACGACTTGACTTGGACTCTATCTCTAAGAATTGAGACTTGACTTGGACTCAAACTCAAAGACTTGACACTTGATTTTGACTCAAACTCAAAGACTTGAGACTTGACTTGGACTCAAACTCAAAGACTTGACACTTGACTTGGACTCAAACTCAAAGACTTGACACTTGACTTGGACTCAAACTCAAAGACTTGAGACTTGACTTGGACTAGAACTCAAAGACTTACGACTTGACTTGGACTCTATCTCTAAGAATTGAGACTTGACTTGGACCCAAACTCGAAGACTTGAGACTTGACATGGACTCAAACTCAAAGACTTGACACTTGACTTGACTCAAACTCAAAGACTTGACACTTGATTTTGACCCAAACTCAAAGACTTGAGACTTGACTTGGACTCAAACTCAAAGACTTGACACTTGACTTGACTCAAACTCAAAGACTTGACACTTGATTTTGACCCAAACTCAAAGACTTGAGACTTGACTTGGACTCTATCTCTAAGAATTGAGACTTGAACTCTTGACATAACCCCTGTTGAGACTTGACTTGGGCTTCCAAAACATGTCTTGTGAACATTTCTGATTTAAGCGTGAGTCAATTTGTTTGTAACCAGCTGTTTTGTTTTGTGGGCTGAATGGCATTTTAACACTGTAACCCACCTCAATATCAGCATATGTGAACCTCCTACACACAACAAACAACTCAAA